CTCAGCCCTCCACCCTCAGACCCAGGATCCAGGCTCAACCCTCCAGCCTCAGACACAGGATCCAGGCTCAGGCTTCCACCCTAAGACCCAGCATCCACACTCAGCCCTCCACCCTCAGAGTCCAGGCCCAAATTCTCCTCCTTCAGACCCAGGAGTCCAGGCCCAGCTCTTCCTCCCTCAGACCCAGGTGTAGTCCCCTCCTCCCTCAGACCCAGGTGTAGTCCCCTCCTCCCTCAGACCCAGAAGTCCAGGCCCAGCCCCTCCTCCCTCAGACCCTGACCTTTCTTCCCCATCACTGGCACAGGTGGCCCAGCTGCTGGAGGTGCCAGTCATGCTGACAGAGCAGTACCCGCAAGGCCTGGGCCCCACAGTGCCCGAGCTGGGGGCTGAGGGCCTGCAGCCACTGAGCAAGACCTGCTTCAGCATGGTGCCTGCCCTGCGGCAGGAGCTGGACAGCCGGCCCCAGCTGCAATCTGTGCTGCTCTGTGGCATTGAGGCACAGGCCTGCATCTTGGTGAGACGCTGACTGACCCCAGCGGTCCCTCATTTTCACCTGGGACCCCCATCCTAAATAGAACCTTCTTCCCTGACCAGAAACCTCGACTTCCCTGCAGGACCCCCCTGACGTGGCCCTCTGTCCTCACCTGTGGGCCCACCCCATCTTGGATCCCCTCCTGACCAGCTCTGATCCGAGCCTCCCTCCTCCCCAGTCTGGGCCCCTAATTCTGACTCAGCATCCCCACTTCCTTACCCAGGACCCCTGTTCTTATCTGGGGTTGGCCCTGGCCTCTTTCTGCCTACAGAACACAACCCTGGACCTCCTGGACCGGGGGCTGCAGGTGCATGTGGTGGTGGATGCCTGCTCCTCACGCAGGTGAGAGGGTTCCTCCCTGGGCGGGTGCACATGAGGGCCATCAGGGGCTCCCAGGAAGGGCCACAGGTGGCATTCCTGCCAGGGTGCCAGTGTGTCTGGGTGTGCAGGGTGCAGCATCCACACCGACCGCCTCTCCCTCTCTTCCACTCGCAGCCAGGTGGACCGGCTGGTGGCGCTGGCCCGCATGCGGCAAAGTGGCGCCTTCCTCTCCACCAGCGAAGGCCTCATTCTGCAGCTTGTGGGTGATGCTGCCAACCCCCAGTTCAAGGAGGTAATGCCCCTCCCAGCTGCCCCCACCTCCCCTGCATCTGACAAAGGTCTGTCTTTGGGCCCTCAGAATACATCCGGCACCAGCAGGGGGTGCCAGGTTCTTGGAGGGGAGGCTGCTGGTCACTGTCACTGCCATAAATCCGTGAAAGGAGCCGGCAGATGGACCACAAGAACCACAGAGAAAGATAAAACAGGGGAGGCGATCCCGAGGGTCGGGGCACAGTGGAGGGGTTGTACTGGATGGTCTGGGAGGTGTCCTGGAGCAAGTGACTTTAGCGTGAACTGAAGGAGGGAGGGACCGGGCAGACACTAGGGAAGAACAGGTCAGCAGAGACCTGGTAGGTCGAAGTCCCTTGGCCCGCCCACACCCATCCCCAACTCCCCATCTCCTCTGCCTCTGCCCCATCAGGTCCGGGTGGCCCTCCTCCGGTTTCTCAGACTCCACACCCACCGCCAGAGTGGCCGCCCTGCTACCGGGCTCAGCCAGGCACTGGGGCCCCTGCGTGAAGCCCTTAGCCCTCAGGATGCTGGAGCAGCCCCACACTTGACATTCCCAGGCCCTCCCATGTCTGCTCCTTGCCTTCCTTCTACTTCAGCTCTGTGGGAATTCACTGAGCACCCACTCCGTGCCAGCCACTGTGGCGAGCCCTGGAGTCCGCATCAGTCCCTGTTTAGGGACACGTTGTGGCCTGCAGCTGGGCCGGGGGTTGCCGAGGGATGAGCGAGAGTGGCAGGGGTGGCCCTGAATTCCTGCCTGCCGGGGAAGGGGGCATCAGACATTCACAGTGTTCCCAGGGGAGGTGGGACTGCGCTTTCCTCCAAGGAGCCGAAGCAGGCCGGGCGAGCACTGGGAGGGAGGAGCGGGGCAGTTGGGAGCCAGCGCCCTGAGGTTTGGGATTTCAGCCATAGGTGGCCATCAGGGTTTTGTGCAGGGGAGCTGGCCATATTTGATCGGCAGTTTATAAAGTTCTTTCTGGCACTGTATAGCCAGTGGATTAGAGAGTGTGGTGTAGACGGGAGGAGGGAGGCCTGTCAGTAAGGAGGTTAATTTGGGCATCCAGGCAAGTGGTGAGGAGGGCTTGACCAGGGTGGAGGCAGTGGGGATACGGGCTTTTTCGTTGTTTTCTTTATTATTATTATTATTATTTTTGAGACTGACTCTCGCTCCATCACCAGGCTAGAGTGCAGTGGCACAATCTCAGCTCACTGCAACTGCTGCCTCCCAGGCTCAGGCAATTCTCCTGCCTCAGCTTCCCAAGTAGCTGAGATTACAGGCACATGCTACCATGCCCAGCTAATTTTTGTATTTTTTAGTAGAGACGGGGTTTCACCATTTTGGTCAGGCTGGTCTCCAACCTCTGACCTTGTGATTCGCCCGCCTCAGCCTTCCAAAGTGCTGGGATTACAGACGTGAGCCATCTTTATTATTATGTTTAATTTCTGGACATAAACTTGCTGGGACTTGCTGTTGGGTGAATGCGGTTGGTTGCTCATGTCTATCTAAGAGGTGGTTGGATAAATGAATCTGGGGTTCAGGGGCAAAGTCCAGGTTGGATTTGGGATGGGAGTCCAGAAGAGGGATGGGAGAGATGAGGTTACTTAAGAGAAGAAGGTGTAGACCAGAAGCCCCAGCACAGAGCTGTCCACCCTAAGTGGTCCAAGCCAGCAAAGCAGACCAAGATGGCAGGCAGTCAGGAGCTCAACCAGACATGTATAATGAAAGGGAGGCCCCAGGAAGAGTCTTGAGAAGAGGGAGTATTGTCTTGGGCAGCTGCTGCCCAGAAGGTCCGGGAAAAGAAGACGGAGAGGTGTCCCTCAGACTTGTCATCCACGGAGATCAGGACCCTTCACTCGTCCTGACCCATCGCCCCCGCCCCTACAGATCCAGAAGCTCATCAAGGAGCCAGCCCCAGACAGCGGACTGCTGGGCCTCTTCCAAGGCCAGAACCCTCTCCTCCACTGAACTCCATCCCTGCCTTGAGGGGAGACCACCCTCCTGTCTCCCGGACCTCAGTGGAAGCGCTTTCCCCCATCCCTGGATCCCAAGAGTGGTGCGGTCCACCAGGAGTGCCGCCCCCTTGGGGCGGGGGCAGGGTGCTGGCTTCCTATTGGACAGCCGCTCCCGGAAATGTAAATGAGACTCCTGGGAGCTGGGCGGGAATTGGCTAAGCCGAGATGGAGGCGGGGCTCGGCCCCGGGCCGCTTCACGGGGCGGGAAGGGGAGGGGAAGGAGTCTCAGGCTGTGGGACTCGGACTCGCAGAATAAACACTTATGTGGCTGTGGACCAAACCATTCTGGGGTTGGGGGGGATCCCGGGGGCGACTGGGGGCTGCAGGAGGGAGAAAGCGGGGTCCCCAGCAGGTGGGGAGGGGGAGGTGCCTCTTCTCGGCTCGAAGCCGGCGCGAAGCAAAGGCGAGGGCTGGCGGCTGACACATCTGCACGGACGCGGCGCATCTGCTCGGAGGAGAACTGCGGCCGGGGTCGCCCCCCGTCGGCGCGCGCCCAGCCAGGCTGCCGGCAGACACGCGCTCTGCCGCCGCCCCCGGCTCCCCAAGGGTCCCGCATCCGGAAAGCGAGGTGAGCGAGGCCGCACCCCGGTGCGGGGGGAAACTGAGGCACGGGGACGTGGAGAAGGGGAGGAAGGAAGAGACAAGCATGTGGATGGGTGGATGGATGGACGGATGGAAGGAAGGGCTGATGACCCAGCCTTGTGGTCCCTGCTCCCCAGACGAAGGAGTTCTGGAACCCACATGGGGGCTCCCAGAATTCTGCAGATCTGGGAGTTGGAACTCTGCAGACCCCCCCAGGGAGTGCCCCCCCTCCAGATATGCAACCTTGCCTCTTCCCCAATCTTGGGGACCTGAGAGGCCACCCCTGAGTCCTGAGGGACACTGGCGTCAGAGCTGTCAGCCAGCCCGCCCCGCGTTGGGCAATCGGAGACCCACCGCCGACCCTGGGAGCCCAGACCCCTCCCAGGAGGTCCGGTCCCGGGTTCCCAGCTTCGGAGTGCCCAGCACCCCTCTCCCCAGGGACCTAGGAGGGGCCCCTGGGACCGGGTGGCGGCGCCCCTGGCCCCCGCTTTCCGGATCCAGGTGTCCCCCCTCCTCACCCCCCAGCCCGAAGCCTCGCGTCTCGGAGGCCCCGCGCGCGTCGCCATGGCAACGGGAGTCTATTTTGCGCTGGGAACACACAGCTCCCGCCGCAGCGCCCCCCCACCCCACCACCCCGGGCCTCAATGGGAGTGGGGGACCCGGGAGGGGGCTCGGGGGTCCGGGTCGGGGGTGAGTGGAGACACAGACACTCAGACAGAGATCCGACGACAGCAAGCCCGGGGCAGAGGCAGAGCCATGGAGCCAGGGAGGAGAGACGAGCGGGATGTGGAGACAGAGGGGAGACGGAGACCGGGCGGGGGAAGGAGGGAAATGGAGGCGCGCAGGGAACTGAGGCTCAGAGAGGGGGACAGCCCGAGGCAGGGGCGCCGGGACCGAGAGACGCGGAGAGGGACGCCGAGGTGCAGGAGACCCGCTGCGAGAGACGCGGGCAGAGACCCCCGTAGTGACAGAGACGGGCGGGGGAGGCGGGGGTCCTGGAGGAGGCGTGGACTGGGCGCCCCGGGACGCGGAGATGCGAACCCAGACACAGGCGCACTGGCCGGCGGCGCAGGGATCTGGGCGGAGGCGCCGGAACCGGCCGCCGCCTGGCTGCGGGTCTGGAGAGGGTCCTCCTCCCTCGCTCGGTCCCTGCCTTCCCTGCGGCCCGCGAGGCAAGGCGCCCCCGCGCAGCCCCCCAGGGTCTCCTCGCCCCGCCGCCCCCGGCACCCGGAACTGGGATCCCTGCGCCCTCCAGCAGGAACTCCTCTCCCCTTCTCGCTCTGGGCTTTCCCCACCCGCCCGGGCCCGCTTCCTCTCGAATACATCCCTACCCCAAACCGGCCTGTCAACCCCAAAGGATCCCCACCGTTCCCACTTGGACCCCGCGCCCGTCCGGCCCAGCCCCCGCCTCTCTCCATACCCACTCCGCCCCGCAGCCCCTGTCCACTCGCTGAGGACCCCACTCCAGCCCAACTCCGAGATCCCAGAGGCGCCTACTCTCTCGGCTCTCTCTCCTCTCAGGGTCTCTGAACCCTGCTTCTCTAGGACTCTGCATCCCCTCTGAGCACTTGTCTCCCCCCCTCCCCCACCCGTGTCTGTCCCTCTCTCTCTCTGGGTCTCTGACCCCCTCTCTCTGGGTCTCTGTCCCCCTGTCTCTGGTCTCTGTCCCCCTCTCTCTCTGGGTCTCTGACCCCTCTCTCTGGGTCTCTGTCCCCCTCTCTCTCTGGGTCTCTATCTCTCTGTCTCTGGGTCTCTGTCCCCCTCTCTCTCTCTGGGTCTCTGTCCCCCTCTCTCTCTCTGGGTCTCTGTCCCCTCTCTCTCTGGGTCTCTGTCCCTCTCTCTCTCTGGGTCTCTGTCCCCCCCTCTCTCTGGGTCTCTGTCCCTCCTCCTCTCTCAAACACACAATCTGCCCTGCCTCTGGCTCTCTGTCCCCCTCTCTTGGGTCCTCTGTTTCCCCTTCAGTATCTGTGTCCCTTTCTCTGAGCTTCTGGGCGCTCTGGCCTGCAGCCCCCAGCCGGGAGGGTTGGGAGGGAGCACAGCAGGTGGAGTGTAGCACAGAGCTGGGCAGGGGGCTGGTGGGGGTGGGAGAGCAGCTCTCAGAACCCAGGAACCCCTCTCAGTCCGGCTCTCTGACCTGTGTCCCCATAGGTGTGTCTGTCAGGTCCTGAGCTGGGGTGCAGCGGGGTCCCGGCCCCTCCCCCTCAGCTGTGGAGGAGGAGAGTGCCTTTGTGTGCGTGAGATCCGAGGTGGGGGCGGGTGTGGGGTGGCGGTGTCACATGGCTGCTTCCAGACTCTCCACCGCTGTGAGGGTGTGTTTGCACACGTGTGTGCACCCCTGAGGCTGCCTGGCCGTGAGCTGCAATGTGTGTGGTCTTGGGCCCTCGTGGAGCCGAGTTGGACAGGTCCCTGGCCCTGTCCCAGAGCTGTCAGCAGTCCAGTGAATGGGGTGGAAATGTGCAGAAGTCCACATGGAGTGGAGCGTATGTGTCCGTGTGCTGGGAGGACACTGCAGGTGTGCCTCCAGGTCCTCGAGTGTCGTGTCTGGGACTGTCCAGGTGCCCGGGCTCTGTGTCAGTGTGTTCTGAAGGGTGTCCCTGCACAGCTTTGTGTGAGGTTAGGGAAGAATTCATCCCGTGTCTGGATGGAGCCAGTCTGCCGGTGCAAGTCCTCTCCACCCACCTGTAGGTGCTGCCCTGACGGGGAGGGATAGAGAAGCTGTGTGTGTGGTGTAGGGTATGTGTGTGTGTTTATGATGTGTGTGGTGTGTGGTATGTGTGTGGAGTGTGGTGTGTGTTGTTTGTGGTATGTATGTGTTGTGTGTATGGTGTGTGTTGTGTGTGATGTGTGGTGTGTGTCTGTGGGGTGTGTATGTGTGGTCTGTGTATGTGGTGTGGGGGGGGTGTGTTGTGTGTCTGTGGTGTGTGTATTGTGGTCTGTGTATGTGGAATGTGTGTGGGGTGTGTGGGGGGGTGTCTGTGGTGTATGTATGTGTATGTATGGTCTGCCTATGTGGAGTGTGTGTGTGTGGTGTGTGTGGTGTCTGTGGCATGTATGAGTGGTGTATGTGTGGTCTGTGTGTGGTGTATCTGGGTGTATCACTGAGTCTGAGGGGAGGTGCGTGCTGCTTCCGCTCTCCCTCCCTGTCCCCTTGGAGTTATCAATGGCCTGGAGCTGTGTCTCCCTGGGTGTGTGCACCACGTGCGTGCAGTTGGAGGAGCCAGTGGGATCTTAGCAGAGGCAGAGATAGTGTCCATGGAGCCGACGGAGGCTTGGCACAGAATGGGGACTGAGCAGAACTGCCAGCCATACAGCAGCCTCTGTGCAGATGAGACAAAGGCACCCCCCACCTAGTCCAATCAACTCTCCCAGGTCTGTGGTTTGGCAGGCAGATGGCACCCTTGTGTGCATTTGAAAAGGGCACTCCTTACCCCAGATGGATGCAGCCCCACTGGCACACGCCTTGGGGAAGAGAACCCAGCAGGATTTCAGCCTCTCAGCCAGACCCCCCTTGTGCAGTACACAACCTGCCCAGCCCTACATGGCAGCCCTCAGTAAATGAAAGAATCCACAGAGCTGCATGCCTGTGCCACTTCTGGAAGGGATGTCTCTCTTTGTGGGGAACAAAGGCATCCATGCTGTACAGGTCACAGTGCTCAAAGACCTGAGTTCAAAGCCAGGCCCCAACTATTTGGGCACCTTGGGACTCAAGCAAATGATGGGACCTCTTGGAACCTCAGTGTCCTCATCTGAAATGAGTGTGTCAATACACATATATGTGGCAGAGAATTGGGAGCATGTCTGGGGCTGGTGTTACCACTAGGCTGCTGAAATGACATGCGAGGGACACCTTGAAGGCAGGCCAGACCAGGATTGGTGGGAAGGAAGGGGCTCCCAGATGAAGGGAACAGCAGGTGCACAGGCAGGAAGGCCAGAGCATCTTGAGCATGAACTTGGAAGGTATGAAGGAAAAAGGAAAGGATGAGAAGAGGAGCTCCCGGCAGAACTGGAGTTTTATTCCAGCTGGGACAGGGAACCAGAGTGTCTATAAGGGAGTGGTCTAAAAGGAAACCATCTAACCTGTTTCCTTTTTTTTTTTTTTTTTTTTTTTTTTTTTTT